GGGAGTTGAAGTCCACACATCTTAAAGTTGCTGAGGTTGAGGCACCCTGATCTAGAGCCCCCAGATCTGGGCTGCAGAATCTACACATCCAGGAGATGGCAGCCAAGAATTAGGGTTTTCTGTATCTTTTTGGGGTTGCCCAAATGTTTGCAACCCAGATCTGATAGCCCAGTGATATCTTATTCTTAAGCAAAATCATCAGGAAATCATTCCCATTGACTAAGGGGAGACTCAGATGCTCAGTTTCACTATTATGAAAATGACTTTCTCATTTTCATTCACAGTGGGCCAGATAGCACAGCCTCTAAAACAGTTCTTATTTGTTCTGAGGACAGTAGTCCCAAAACTTCTAAAAGTCACCATATGCAGACACAGGCAGTTCTTGAAATAACCCAATCTTAGATCATTCAGATATTGGTAGGCCTAAGAACCAAATGGCTCTTTCAGTGGTGGCCCACATTGTCTTTAGACTAATGTTTTTAGACATTAAGACTACAGAGATGAGGCTCAAAATATTTTTCCTCTGTATTCTCAGTTCCTGATGATAACATCTTAGAGACTAATTCTCAGTTGCTGCTTTACAATCCTAATAATAAGTAGAAACTGTTCACTGAATAAACCTAAGTATTTTTTGAAGGGTATGAGAGCCACTTTGGTGTAGTGCAGGGTTTCTCAACCTTGGCAACTTTCAGATGAGTGGACTTCAACTCCCAGAATTCCCCAGCCAGCCTTGCCTGGGAGTTAAAGTCCACTCATTTGAAAGTTGCCAAGGTTGAGAAACCCTGGTTTAGTGGCTAAGGTACCAGGCTAGTAACTGGGAGACCATGAGCTCTAGGTCCACCTGAGGCACAAAGCCAGCTGGGTGAATTTGGGCCAGTCACTCTGTCTCAGCAATGGCAAAGCCTCTTCTGAAAACTGCAGGGACTAGTCCAAATAGTTGCCAGGAGTCAAGCTGACTTGAAAGCACACATACATAAAAAGGTTTTTGGGAAGTACAGACCTGCTTCATCTAGCATTGTACAATAGAAACTGAGATATTTCCTAGTTTTCAACGTGTATGAATGTGTGTGCATGTAAACATGCATACATGGAATGCTAATGGTAATGCTAAATGTAATTATATTTTATAACTATGTGTTAAAATAATAAATACTTTTAAAGAATATAGATGGAATTCCATGGTATCTAAACACCTAGGATGGATTGGGCTATATATTCCCCTGATTTGGGTAATTGTGGGGAAAGGAGACTATGGTTGGGTTTATGCATTGCTCTACTTATAATTTGATTTTTTTTGGTTTGGGCTTAGCCATTGTGGCTTTATGAACCATGATTTATGCCTTAGCACAAGATCAGGAGGCTCTGCTCATGGTCACTCATGCCCTGGTCACCTCCTGGATGGACTACTGTAATGTGCTATACATGGGGCTGCCTTTGAAGATTATCCGGAAGTTTCAACTGGTGCAAAATACAGTAACATAGGCAGTTATGTGTGCCCCTAGAATGTCACACATTACACCTCTGTTCTGTGAGCTGCACTGGTTGTAGTTTGCTTCTGGGTCCAGGTCAAGGTGCTAGTTCTGACCTTTAAAGCCCTTTATGGCATCGGTCCATGTTATTTGAGGGACTGCCTCTTCCCAATTACATCTGCCCACCCCATCAGGTCCAGCAGAAGAGGTATGTTGTGGGTCCTGTCTGTTAAGGAGTTACATCTGGTGGGACTGGGAGACAGGCCTTTTCTGCTGTGGCACCCGCCCTGAGGAACATCATTCCACCCGAGGTGGGATTGGCCCCGTCCTTGACATCTTTCCAGAAATCCCTCAAAATGTGGCTGTGTCAACAGGCTTGGGGATCTCAAAGAAATGGTGAACTGGTGAGATGGCTACATTGCCTGTAACATCGGATATGCTCTCTCTCCTGGTCTTTTAATAATATTGATATTTTTCTAATTGTGGAATGCTTTTCATGTTGTCCATTTTATGGCTTGTTTTTTATTGTAAACTGCCCAGAGTCATGTTTGTGAGACAAGTGGCTATATAAATATTATAATTGACTGACTGACTGACTGACTGACTGAATAAATGAATGAATGAATAAAATAAAATAAAATAAAATAAAATAAAATAAAATAAATCTAGCTAACGATGGGATATTTAACCAATCATAGTTAGCACATCATGAATTAACCATGTCTACATGTACAATTTTTCTTTGCTTATTCAGCATATTGGCCCCCACATTTATATCCAGTGGTGTCTGTGACAAACCAAAATGATGTCAAAAAGATAACATGCGTCATGACATCATCATGCAAATACCACACTTACATTTTGTCTGATGCAAGACACAAGTTATGGCATTTGCTTGCTGATGTTAGCAAATCTGTTAACATTTGTTATCATTTGTTCCCTTGGCCCCCTTACAGACACCCAAGTGTACATCTGTCCATGGAATTTTCTAATGTTATTTATGCATGTACAATTCAACAGAATGGCATTTTACTATTTCTGTAAGTACGTGCAAGGACTGAAACATCCTCAAGAAGCCACTTCTCCATGTGATGGGGGAAATTGGAGAAGACGTGTGATTCCATCCTGCCCTGTGTTTTAGAAAGGGCACCGAAAGAAAAATAAAATAAATAATTTGCTTGATAGGAGGATGATAGTTTTTGGGAGACTGCAGTGTATGAACAAAAACACAAATGCAGCATTGATTATTGGAGAGTACCATTAGAAAGTAGTCAATCTGTAAAGCAAAGTCATCCACACTCTTCAGAAATCAATTTTCAAAATCTTGTTTGTGTGTTTCAGATCGAAATGCTAGAGCACAAATATGGGGGCCACTTGGTCTCTCGGAGAGCAGCCTGCACGATTCAGACTGCCTTCCGCCAGTACCAGCTCAGCAAAAACTTTGAGAAGATTCGAAACTCTCTACTGGAGAGCCGCATGCCCCGGCGGATTTCCTTGAGGAAACTCCGAGTCCAGAACTCTGAAAATTTCTCTGCTGAGAAAGCTCTAGTGGAAGGCTATAACTTTGTTGGCATCCCCCTGGTAAGATCTCCCTCTTTGCCAGTAACTATCAGTGGGGCACTGACGGAACTGGAGGACTCCTTCACTGAGCAAGTCCAGTCTTTGGCCAAATCTATTGATGATGCACTCAGCACATGGAGCCTGAAAACGATGTGTTCCCTGCAAGATGGCAGTTCCTATCAGATAAGAGAGACCTTCAGTACAAGCTCCATGCAACCAAACCAAGACTTGGACATGGAACTGAAGGACCAGGAGAAGGAGGAAGGGCTGCTGCCAGACACATTACCAAAGAGCAGCAGCACACTCATGATGGCCTTCAGAGACGTCACTGTCCAGATAGACAACAAGAATATCTCTGTCTCCTCATCTACCTCGGTGTCTATGGCAAACTGCCTGGCTAACAGTAGCCAGGCTGGGATTTCTCCAGTTGCCAAACTAGAAGAAATCCCAGTGGAAGGGGAGAAAGAGAATAAAGACCCTCAAGTTGTTTCTGAAGGGCAGCCTGATGCTGGAACCCTCCAGAATAGTCACCCAGCAGCTGAGGGGAATATCAACACCAATGGTTTGGGGAAAGGGGAGACTGAGCAAGACCAAATGATGATGTCAAAACTCGACTCTGGCTCTGACAACGGGGCTGGGCAGCACAAGGGATCAGAAGCTGAAAATGTAGATAATTTGGAACAATTGAGCAGTAGCAGTACCTCCACCTCAGCTAAGTCTGCTTCAGAGTTATCCTCAAAGGAAGCCCTGCAAGCCATGATTCTGAGCCTGCCACGGTACCACTGTGAGAATCCAGCCATCTGCAAATCCCCTACGCTTTCTACAGACACCATGAGGAAACGGCTGTATCGCATTGGGCTGAATCTCTTTAACATGTAAGTGGCTAATAAGAACATGTCTTTATAATTCCTTGTAGCTTTCCTTAATTCATTGCAACAATAGGCTATCAGAAACAATGAAGTTAGGCTTGGCTTATCCAAGCAGCCTGTTTTTCTGGTTTGGGGGGAGCGGGAGGTCAGCCATCTAAGAACCAAGGGTTCTGCATGGAAGTTTGGCTGCAAATGTGGGAATCAAAATAATCTAAAGCAGTGTTTCTTAACCTTGGGAGCTTTAAGCTGTGCTGGCTGGGGAATGCTGGGAGTTGAAGTCCACACATCTTAAAATTCCCAAGGTTGAGAAACACTGATCTAGACTCACATGATTAGTATCCAGAGGACTATAGACAGATCACTGACTGTCATCCAAAAAGGTTTGTTGTAATACTGAGGGATATTGTAAGACCATGTATATTTTAAAAGAGCTTAACAAGAAAAATTTCCTCAATTTTTAAGCACTCTGGGCAGAGGCTCATCTCTCAGACCTAAAGCTTTTTAGCAGCTGTTTTTCCCTTGGTGGGGTGGGCTTTGCTGAGTTTTGTTCTAGGCTAAGGCCAATATTTAGTGGACACTAGTGCTAGTGAAGGGTGAAAAAGACATTTAGGCACGACAGTTCTGAAAAGTGGAGACAGAAACATTGGCTTTGTAGAAGTGGGCTCTGCCTTTGCACTATGGACGCTTACTTGTCTGACTTCTGAACTTCAGTAGCCCTCAGTGTCTTTTTGCCAAGGGCCTTCTTAGGTTCTTTTTTCCCTCAGTGACTACAGGCAAGGATGCTTGTAGAGTGTTTTGACTGTGGAAACTAAAGATTCAGTAAGTCTACTGAAATGCAGACTAGATGGTATGACAC